GTTCTCTCCTATTTCCATCCCACCCTCCTGCACCCCTGTCTTACGTCTTCTTCCTTCCACCTCGTTTACCTAGTTGAGAGGGCTGAGCCCAGAGGCCTCTTATTCCAGCTCCAAAGCTGGCATTCTTGGTAACAATGTTTGATGCTGAGGTTCTCAAACATGCCCAGCAGTCATCATCACTGGGAGGGCCTTGTTTAATCCAGGTGCTCAGACTCCAAAGCCCAAGTGTTTGATTCAGTAGTGGGGCTGAGGACCTGCATTTCCAAGCAGCTCCCAGGTATGCTGATACTGCTGGTCCAGGGATGAGTTCTAAGACTAGCTGCTAGGAATCTTCATGATTGCAGATGTCCTTCTCAGGACATGTCAGCTCCAAGAATTGCTGCTGGAGGCTTCATGATTGTGGATGTGGATGTCCTTTCTCAGGACATGTGCTCCTTCTTCATAGTGGAGTCTTGACAAGCGTAGGTTTGAGACTCACAGGAACAGAAAACTTAGAACCCAGAACAGGCCCTGGATCTGAAGTCAGATCCTGAATCCAAATCCAGCTCTTACCAGTTATCGGCTCTGTGACTGTGACCAAGATATGGCACCTCTCTCAGGCTTTCTTTCCTCATCTGTTAAATGGGAATGGTCACAGTGGGTTGGTCAAAAAGTTTATTGGGGTTTTTCCATGACATCTTCTCAAACTTTTTGGCCAGCTCAATACCTGCTTCAGAGGATTAAATGCTGATTTCTTTTATGGAGAGTCTGATACTTGTTGGAGAGACTTTCCTGGTGGCTCAGATGGTAAAAGCGTTTGCCTATAATGTGGGAGAACTGGGTTCTATCCCTGGGCTGGAAAGATCCCCTGGAGAAGGAAATGGCAACCCACACCAGTACTCTTGCCTGGAAAATTCCATGGACGGAGGAGCCTGGTGGGCTACAGTCCTTGGGGTCGCAAAGAGTCGGACACGACTGAGCGACTTCATTTTCTGGTACTTGTTAGGCATCCAGTTATTGATTCAAGTTTGGACTCCATTGGAAAACGTCAGTGACGATGCTTCTGTTTCTGCCCACATGGGGACATGGTGGGTGTTGAGGACTCTGCCACGTAGATTCCATGGGCTGTTCTAGCAAACATTCATCTCAGTCTTGTGGACAGGTCACGCGTAATGGACAGGTATGTGATCCTGTGTTTTCCTTGGATGGTCTCCTAGGCAGTATCATCTTTGTGAAACCCCAGCATCGAGCTTTGTATTTTACCTTGTATGTTACCACGAGGTCCCTGCATGTTTGAGTTTGGGGTGGGTGGGGGAGGACCCTTTGGCCCCTGTCCCCAGAGTTGACCCCTACACCTAACTGAGGGATGGCAGTCATGAGGTCAGCAATGCGGAGCCACGGTTGCTTCAGGGGTTGGTAATGTTTGTAATACTCAGGCCTATTGTTTGTTATACACTGCAGCCTCAGGGAAGTTATTCACTGTCTCCAGCCTGTGTTCTTTTCTCCTATAAAAGGAACTTAATAAGAATGTGACTGTGAGGGTGCAGTGAGACACTACCTATTGAGATTTTTCATTTTCATTTTTATAAATTAGAGTATAGTTGATTTACAGTGTTATTGGAAAGGACTCATTGCTTTGTCAGTGAAGAGTCTCCCTGCCTTGCAGGAGACCTGGATTTGATCCCTGGGCCTGGAAGATCCCCTGGAGAAGGAAATGGCAACCCATTCCAGTATTCTTGCCTGGAGAATCCCATGGACAGAGGGGCCTGGCAGACTATGGGGATGCAGAGTTGGATACGACTTAGTGACTAAACCACCAGCCACCACCACTGAGTCAGTTATACACATAGATACATCCAATCTCTTCTTAAGATTCTGCTCCTAATAGGCCATCACAGAGTCCTGAGTGGACTTCCCTGTGCTCTACATTAGTCCTTATTAGCGATCTATTTATATACGTGCCGTGTGTGCCCTGCCAAGTCGTTTCAGTCATGTCCGACCCTTTGAGACCCTATGAACTGTGGCCTGCCAGGCTCCTCTGTCCATGGGATTCTCCAGGCAAGAATANTTTCAGTCATGTCCGACCCTTTGAGACCCTATGAACTGTGGCCTGCCAGGCTCCTCTGTCCATGGGATTCTCCAGGCAAGAATACTGGAGTGGGTTGCCATGGCCTCCTCCAGGGCATCTTCCCACCCCAGGGATCAAACCCAGGTCTCTTAGGTCTCCTGCATCGGCAGGCAGGTTCTTTACCACTAACACCACCTGGGAAGCCCCTATTTATATATAGTAGTGTGTATATGTCAACCCCAATTTCCCAATTTTTCTCCCCCTCCTTCCCCTTGATAACCATCACTGTGTTTTCTACATCTGTGACTTATGTTTTATATAAATAGGTTCATTTGTCCCAATTTTTTAGATTCCACATACAAGCAATTTCATATGATATTTACCTTTCTTGTCATATAAGCTCTTAAAATAGCCTGTGGTGAGCACTCAGTGACTGTTAGCCTTGGTTATTTGTTGAGAACCTACTATGCTCCAGGCATGCTGCAGGGGTCAGGCATTTATTCCCCAAACACAAGCACTACCTTATATCTGGGGGATTGACGGTGGGTAAGACAGTCCACTCTTGCTTTTCTTTTCTTTTCTTTTTAATGTTGCATCACACAGCTTGTGGGATCTTATTTCCCCAAGCATGGACTGAACTGAGCCCTCAGCAGTGAAAGTGTGGGCGTTCTAACCACCTGACTGCCAGTTAATTCAGTCTACTCTTGTTTCCAAGTACCATTTCTAAAAGAAGCAAGGTATTGAAATGGAAATGGGCTTATTTGAGTGAGGTCACTCAGCTAGGGAGCAGAACCCATTCTGTTCTGTGGTCCTGCCCATGTGTAGCACTGCCCTTACTGCATCATCACCAGATGCTGATAATTATCATTTGAGTGGAGAATGGAAGCATCCATTTACTAGTTCTGAAAGTATGATGGTAGATCCAAATATGTAGATTTTAGACATTTTGATTTGATTTATAGATTTCAGATACTAATTTATATTCATATAATACTTTCATTATAAAATATGCAGTGGTACAAAGATTTGTATGTATATGGGAGTTTTTTTTTTCTTTTTAATTTGGGTTTATAAATGGTTTGGAACAGGTTGGAGAAACATCATCTGTTGCTCTTTTTAATATATCTTGAGCAAGCTATGACACATCCTGAAATAATTTGCTTCAGAAAAAAGCACTGCTCTCTCTCTTTTGCAAATGTGACTGTAAATATTACTTTGAGGTATGTAATTGCTGCAACCATCTCCATTTGAAGGAAGACTTCTAACCCGTCCATCTCCCATCTCTTGCTATTGTCAAGAAATCAGAAATATCGACTTAAAAGATATTATTCAAATGTGTTGAATGTAAACACTAAAGAAGTCTGAGAACAGCCACAAATTTTCCTTTGCTTAATGCAGCTTTGAAAATATTTCAAGTATTCTGTTTTACAGGCATGCATTCACTCTGCTTAGGGAAAATATTACTTCAAACACATTTTAGCATGCCAAGAACGCTTCTAGTGCCTGGCACTTAGTAGGAACTGAAAGGATGTCTGAAGGTTGACTTGAGTTGAAGTTCTCTGGGATGCAAGTGTTGCTATAACACCTGGAAACCCTTGGGTTCTTTTAGATATAGAGACAGCTCCAGCAGGGCTTGGTGAGGGGCTCTGGCTAGGGGCAGGCAGGCCTGCACCCCTTCTGGGCAATGGGGCATTGCTCAGAGTCAGACCCTGCTCAACGCAGAGCTAGAGCTGGCTTCACGATTGGTCCCTGTCGCTCATTTCATAGAGCGGACCTCCTTCTGAGCTCTCAGACTTGGCTGCGAGCCTCTTGGAGACAGGACTCTGCCTCTTGTTTCAGCATTTTCAAGAGCCTGTCCTAAGGCCGTAATTGCTCGTAAATGTTTCGCTCAATTGAAAGAGAAAGGAAAGAAACCAAGTGGGCACATGGCTCCCTCTCGTCTGCTCGCTTCTGAGACCTGGCTGTGAACTCATGGCCGGATCCTCCCATGATTCATCACTTAAGTCATTCAGCAGTTGAAGGATGCAAGCTTTCCCCTCAAAGGCTGTCTCTTGGGCTGTTTAGAGACCCGGGTGGGTGGTGGAAATAGCCCTGGTCTGAAACGCTATGGATGCCTGTGCGGTGCTATTTTTAAATTAAAGAAAAATTTTTTTTATTGGCTGTTTTACTTTACACATAATCTTTGATTTTTTATTTTAATACAAGTATAGTTGAATTACAATGTTTGTAAATTACTGCTGTATACAAAGTGATTCAGTTCATATATGAACTGAGACCTGGCTGTGGTCTCATACACATACTTATATACATAAAGGGGGCTTTCCAAGTAGCGCTAGTGGTAAAGAACTCGAATTACAATGAAGAGATAAGAGATGCTGTTTCGATCCCCGGGTTGGGAAGATCCCCTGGAGTAGGAAATGACAACCCACTACAGTGTTCTTGCCAGGAGAATCCCATGGACAGAGGAGTCTGGTGGGCTACAGTCTATGGGGTCGCAAAGAGTCAGACATGACTGAAGCGACTTATCACACACACATGCATATATATATATATGTATATATACATATATATATATATATATATAAAATAAAGTTCTTTTTGATATTCTTTTCCATTATGGTTTATCACTCTACTTCCTTGTGCTGTACAGTGGGACCTTGTCTATCCATCCTATAAATAATAGGTTACATCTGCTAACCCCAACCTCCCACTGCATCCCTCTTTCATAAGCAAACCTGCATCACATACATGCTGGCAGTCTGGAAGTTCAACCTACATCAGATCCGTTCTTGTTCTAGATCTTTGTCTCCCTGTAACGTCTAAGATCACTGAGAGCAATGTACATCTTTCCCATTAACGTTGTGTGTATGTGTGTGTGTGTGTGCTGGTCAGCTTATTTGCCACAGCATCAAAAGTTTTACTCCTTTATTCATGAACAAAGAAATATTCTGACCTATTTTTCGGCAGAGCGAAGTTCTGGAATTTCAAATCACTGGATCCTTCTTTGACTATTTTTCTATTGCCCCTGTGATGAAAGAAAATAGATTATCATCAGAAAGTAGCAAGAAGTGAGGGGAAAAATTAATTAAGTGCATTCATTCATAGAAAGAACCACTCAGTCAGATGTAAGTAATTAACATCTCACATGTAATTCCAAATCTCTCTTTGCATTTCCAGTGGAGTTAAACAAAATCTGGACTTAAGATAATCCAATTACTTGAAAATACTTTTTTTTTTTTTTTTAAATGCAAGAGGTTTATTTTACAAGGAGAGATAGCCTGGGTTAGAATAAGTGCCCTTAACTGGATGAAGACGTGGGCTTTGTCACATCAGCGTGGTCAAGTGGTGTCCTCCCTAAGTTTCCTGAATTTCCATAACCTTGCTCTATACAGCAAAAAGCATCACACTCGTGCCACCCGGTTAAGGGAAGGCTGTCAAACAAGGACAGCACCTGCAGGCCAGGGAATGTCCTACATGCTTTCCTAAGTTGGCTGAATTCAGCCAAAGCTAGCAAACATCATCCAGGGTTGGGAGCAAGATGACTTAGGAATAGCAACTCAGATCCAAATAATATGTATTGAACTCCTGTATAATTTAGGGACTTTGTGGTGCTATTTTCTATGAAGAGATTAACTAATTTTAAATTGAGTTAATTTGTTCAAATTCAGTAAGGCATTCTCTATCATAAAGAATCTCCAGTTCATTTCATTAGCCAAGTTTAATACACTTTCATTTTTCTTGCAGGCATTTTGTGAGCTCTATGAGACGTTAACGGATGGTGCCTTCCTCCACGAATGCTCCTTGGCGGCCACCAGGGTAGCTCCCCTGACCTGCTTGTCCTCCTGATTCTCTCCACTTGGGCCGCACCTGCTTCTTCTATGACCTTAGATTTCCCCCTCCTCCCTCCCAGGGCTCTTGCAGGGACTGGTCCGTCTTTCTCAAACACTTGTTGTCTTTCTTCTTCCCCTGCCTCAAACTCAAGCTTCTGAGTTCAGTTCACCTGTCATTTCATCAGAGAGACCTCCTTTCTCCTCTGAGACAGACCCCTTCTAGCACTGGTCTGAGTTTTAGCTGTCCTTTGACTTAACGTGTAGGCTGTGTTCATGACTGTGATGCTGGGGGAACTGCCATCTCCATGAGGGCAGAGAGTGCAGGAGACTGCCTGTCCAGGGCTTGGGACTGTGCCTGATTGTACAGGACATGCTAAAAGATGACTTGAGGCTCTCTCTCCAGCCAGGATTTTTAAAAACTTTTTTTCTATATTGGAGTATGTTTGATGAATAATGTTGTGATACTTTCAGGTGCAAAGCAGAGTGACTCAGCCATCCATGTGTATGTATCCATTCTCCCCAAAACTCCCCTCCCATCCAGGCTGTCACATAACATTAAGCAGAGTTCCCTGTACTATGGATGGAGCTAGAGATTGTTACACTGAGTAGAATCAGACAGAGACAGAGAAATATCCATCTAGGATTTTTTTGTATAGCCTATTAATTGCAACACAATAAATTAAAAACATAGTGAGTTGTTTGGATATATTTTGTCACCATGTAAATTGATCGTCTAGAAAAATGATGCATGATTCCATTATTTTTCAGTTTATTTATTTTACAAGGAGAGATAGCCTGGGTTAGAATAAGTGCCCTTAACTGGATGAAGACGTGGGCTTTGTCACATCAGCGTGGTCAAGTGGTGTCCTCCATAAGTTTCCTGAATTTCCATAACCTTGCTCTGTACAGCAAAAAGCATCACACTCGTGCCACCCGGTTAAGGGAAGGCTGTGAAACAAGGACAGCACCTGCAGGCCAGGGAATGTCCTACATGCTTTCCTAAGTTGGCTGAATTCAGCCAAAACTAGCAAACATCATCCAGGGTTGGGAGGAAGATGACTTAGGAATAGCAACTCAGATCCAAATAATATGTATTGAACTCCTGTATAATTTAGGGACTTTGTGGTGCTATTTTCTATGAAGAGATTAACTAATTTTAAATTGAGTTAATTTGTTCAAATTCAGTAAGGCATTCTCTATCATAAAGAATCTCCAGTTCATTTCATTAGCCAAGTTTAATACACTTTCATTTTTCTTGCAGGCATTTTGTGAGCTCTATGAGACGTTAACGGATGGTGCCTTCCTCCACGAATGCTCCTTGGCGGCCACCAGGGTAGCTCCCCTGACCTGCTTGTCCTCCTGATTCTCTCCACTTGGGCCGCACCTGCTTCTTCTATGACCTTAGATTTCCCCCTCCTCCCTCCCAGGGCTCTTGCAGGGACTGGTCCGTCTTTCTCAAACACTTGTTGTCTTTCTTCTTCCCCTGCATCAAACTCAAGCTTCTGAGTTCAGTTCGCCTGTCATTTCATCAGAGAGACCTCCTTTCTCCTCTGAGACAGACCCCTTCTAGCACTGGTCTGAGTTTTAGCTGTCCTTTGACTTAACGTGTAGGCTGTGTTCATGACTGTGATGCTGGGGGAACTGCCATCTCCATGAGGGCAGAGAGTGCAGGAGACTGCCTGTCCAGGGCTTGGGACTGTGCCTGATTGTACAGGACATGCTAAAAGATGACTTGAGGCTCTCTCTCCAGCCAGGATTTTTAAAAACTTTTTTTCTATATTGGAGTATGTTTGATGAATAATGTTGTGATACTTTCAGGTGCAAAGCAGAGTGACTCAGCCATCCATGTGTATGTATCCATTCTCCCCAAAACTCCCCTCCCATCCAGGCTGTCACATAACATTAAGCAGAGTTCCCTGTACTATGGATGGAGCTAGAGATTGTTACACTGAGTAGAATCAGACAGAGACAGAGAAATATCCATCTAGGATTTTTTTGTATAGCCTATTAATTGCAACACAATAAATTAAAAACATAGTGAGTTGTTTGGATATATTTTGTCACCATGTAAATTGATCGTCTAGAAAAATGATGCATGATTCCATTATTTTTCAGTTTTTTTTTTATTCCATGATTACATACTTGTTTCATTACTGTATTATTTTATATTCAATACATTTTATTATTTCATTGTTTTTTATGTATCTGGGCTAAAGCTCAATTCATAAATCTTTATCTGCATTCTGATCTCGTTTCTAAGCTCTGGACACAAACATCTACCTTCTGGACTTTTTTAACTAGTCACCCCCAGCAGACTCAGGTCCTTTCCTAGTGAATGGCCCCATTGTTCACGGAACTTCCAAACAATTATTTGTGCACTCACCTTGAGTCTTCCCTCCCTTCTCCTCTCCATCCTCACCATCTCCACAATTTGTTACCAGATCCTAGAAACTGAGTCCCAAACATCTCTCTTCAATCCTTTAAATGACACCTAGTCTTAGCTCTGCCTTCATTCTCTCCAGCCTGGACTCTGATGTCAGTCCCCTGGCTTCCTGGGCTCCAATCCACCCACCAAACAGCAATGAGAACAGCCATCTTTTTAACTGGCAGAATATAACCGAGTCTCCTCTTTACTTGAAATCCCCACCCCCCCTCCATTTCTGCAGGACAGAGTCTACGGTCTTTACCAGGATCCCTGCTCCAGGGGCCTTGGATACAATTTATATTATTTGTATTCTTATTTCCTGCCACCCCTGCTCTCTGACCAGGCCCCCCACATTCTCCCTGCTTGCCACAAGACAGGCCAGTGAATCAGAGACTAGGTGTTGAGGCAAGGAATACTTCATCTGGAGAGCTTACTGCCAAGAAGATGGCAGATAGTGTCTCAAAATAACCATCTTATTGCAGTCTGGATGCCAGTTTCTTTTATAGAACAGAGATGGGGGGCAGTGAGGAAACAAAGTTAAAAGGCCATTAATTTTGCAAATATCTTTTAGAATGGTAGCCCTAGGACAGGGGATGTGATAATTCTTCCTTCCTGACATCCACAGGTGGACAGGGTCCTGAACAAAGACACTTTAGTTTAACAGTCAAGCAGAGGGGCGGGATTTTTTGAGGCAGGACATCATGCATGATTATAATAACAAAAGCAATGCAAAGCAAGTCAAACAGTTCTGACAACAAGAAACAGTTCCAGCCTGGAGTCAAAATTGGCTCTTTCCTGCAATAATAGTTTCCACTCTTCAAGGCTTAGTTCAAATATTAGTTCCCTGTGAGGTCTTCCAGAGAAGGCACGGGCAACCCACTCCAGTACTTTTGCCTGGAAAATCCCATGGCCAGAGGATCCTGGTAGGCTGCAGTCCATGGGGTCGCTAGGAGTTGGACATGACTGAGCGACTTCACTTTCACTTTTCACTTTCATGCATTGGAGAAGGAAATGGCAACCCACTCCAGTGTTCTTGCCTGGAGAATACTGGGGACAGGGGAGCCTGGTGGGCTGCCGTCTATGGGTTGCACAGAGTCGGACACAACTGAAGCGACTTAGCAGCAGCAGCAGCCCTGAGGTCTTCTGTGTTGCTTCCTCTTTGAACCTTTTAGTATTTTTGATATATCTCTGTTCTAACATTCATTCATTTGTTCATGAATCCACTTATTCATTAACTTGATACAATATTAGAGATGTTATAGATATCAGATCTATTTTGTGCTCAGCAATGGGATGAAGTTGTTAAGAAGACACATGAAGCCTGCCTGGTGAATTTTTTATGGTTGTTGGGAGACAGGCCACGAACAAGTAGATAAACAATCATATTTTTATCATATTGCTGTGTATGTGTGCCTGTTCAGGAACATGAGTATGTTCCCCTAGAGTAGGCAATTTTTGTGAGGAGAAACATATTCTTGGAATATTTTCTCTCCCAGCACAAGGACTAGCTGACCTCAGGTGTGATCTAAGGAATGTTTTTAAGATATGAAATGATGCATTAATAATACATAGATAATGCCCTGACTATCTGGGCTCTTACACAGTAGTGAATCACTCACTCAGTTGTATAGGGTCCTTTGGGTCTCTCTGATACCAGGCAACGTCTGGCCTGTCCCTGCACTGAGAAGGGACATTGGTTTCATTACATCTCTAAGGTATGGGCAACATTTCTGTGCTCTGACAGCCAGGGTAACATTTGCTGAAATGGCT